AGCTTCTAAGAAACACCCTCATGGACAGATGGCTTATGAATGGCAACCTATACAGCTGAAGGATCTTAAGAATATTAAAGAATCAGTTGTCTCATATGGTCTCCATAGCCCATAGGTAAAACAGCTATTACATTCATGGGCAACTTTTAACAGAGTGACACCCAGAGATTGGGATTGATTGGTAGCAGCTGTACTTGAGAATTCATGCCAAAACCAGTGGAAGGTATTAGGAAGGGAAGAGGCAAAGCTCCTTGAGCGTCAGGGCATAAAGGAAGGTTTTGAGGCCCCCCCTAGATAAGATTCTTGGTCAGGGGATTTATGCTGACCCACAGGGTCAGGCTGGATATGATGACGATATACTGTCTCTATGCAGGAAAGCAGCATTAAATGCCTGGGATAAGGTTGGTGAGCCAGGAGAATGCCTAGAAGCTTCTACCAGAATAGAACAGGGACCTACAGAACAGTTCTAGAACTTCTTACAAAGGTTAACCTAGGGCAATAGAATTATAGGTAACAGATCCAGAAACAAGACAATCAATTATATATACAATAGCTTATGAAAATGCAAACCCCAATATGCAAAAGAATACATTTGCCTTTAAAGATCAGATCAGCTCGGCTAGAAGAATGGGTTTTGTATGCAGCTAACATTGACTATAATGAGCAAGAAACTGGAGCTTGGGTAGGAGAAGCCATCTCCAAAGGTTTAAAATGGTAACAGGAAATTAAAAGTTCTAGAGGTGAGGATGTAAGAGCTTGGCAAGGAGAAGCACCTTACAGAGGTCAACATAAGTACCAAAAGGCTGGAGGTTACTACTACTATGAACCAGAACCTTAGGTAGGAAGAGCCTTCCCCTGGCAACCACGAAGGCACCAGGAACCTAGATGTTTCAAATGTGGTAAAATGGGACATACTAAGAGAAATTATAGACAAATGAATTCTAACAATGCCTCATACAGAAGACCACTGCATTCTCGATTATGTAGAAGATGTGGTAAGGGCAGACACTGGACCAATGAATGTAAATCGACCATTGACATACAAAGAAACATGTTAAGGTCAGGAAACCCCAAGGGGGACTCAAGAAGGACTCCACTTCGAGAAAGGTCTGGTCATTCCCAGTAGCAGTGGGAGACAATATCTCACAGGACCAATAGATAGTTATTTGCCTATTGCGAAAAATGATACTGCTCTAGATGTTAGTTTGAATAGTGATAAAGAATCAAGTGTGAGTGGACAAAATGAGAAACGCATATTTCAGCTAGCTTCTATTAATGATAAAAGGCCTCAGTTGAAAGTGAAAATTAATAATAAAGTTATTTCTGGCTTAGTAGAAACTGGGGCAGATGTAACTATTATTACTCAAAAGTCTTGGCTCAGAAATGGTCTCTTAGAGAGGCAAATGTACAGTTTCTGGAATTGGAACTCTATCTAGAGTTCGACAGAATGTTAACTCGGTAGTCTGCATTGGACAAGAAGTACAGAAAGGGATACTGAAACCATATTCTCCTGTATTTGTTATCAAAAGAAGTCAGGTAAGTGGAGAATGCTGACTGAACTGAGAGCCATAAATAAGGTAATTCAACCAATGGACTCTCTGCAACCTGGAATGCCATTACCTTCCTTAATACCTAAAGGATGGCCTATCATATTCTTTGATCTAAAAGACTGATTTTTCCCAACACCGTTACAGGAAAATGATAGAGAAAAAATTTGTGTTTACTGTACCAACTCTTAATAATTCACAGCCAGTTAGGAGATACCAGTGGAGAGTTTTGCCACAAGGAATGGTAAATAGTCCTACTTTGTGTCAACACTTTGTACAGCAACCTTTGGAAATAATTCATAAGAAATTTTCACAATCTCTTGTTTATCATTACATGGATGACATTCTTTTTATTAGAATCCAATAAAGAAACTTTGGAATGTATGTTTGAAATGGTGAAGGAAGTTCTGCCTTGTTGGGGGTTACAGATTGCCCAAGAAAAGATACAAAGAGGAGATTCTATTAACTATTTAGGTTACAAGATAGACTTACAAAGAATCAGACCTCAAAAGGTACAAATTAGGAGAGATTGTTATCAAACTCTTAATTCTCTTCAGAAATTATTAGGGGAAATTTCTCAATTACAGATGATTATTGGTGTAGAAGGACATGACTTAAAGCATTTAAAAGTGGCCCTTAAAGGTGATAAGTACCTAAACAGTCCAAGAATATTATCTGCTGAGGCAGAAAAAGAGTTACAGTGAGTAGAAAACAGAATATTGGATGCACATATAGATCGGATAAATCTTGATTTAGACTGTATTCTGATTATCTTGCCATCCAGAGAATACCCTTCTGGAATTCTGATACAAAGGGAAGACAATATATTGGAATGGACATTTCTGCCACTTAAACAGAATAAAAAGTTAAAGACATACATAGAAAAGATTTCTGATTTGGTTTTAAAGGGAAAATTAAGCCCAGAGCTCTCTCTTGATGCTGGTCAGGTCACAGGGACCAGCCTGGGAGGATCCTTGCAGCTGGAAGCAGTGGTGGTCACCCCCCTCTTGTGTAAGTGTAATCTCCCTGAATAAACTTTACTTAACCTGTACTGAGTCTAGTGAATCTTGATTCCCAAGTGATAGATATGCATGGTACACTATATACATTCAACTAGACATTATTTAAGCATGAAAGGAAGAACTTCCAGTACATGCTGCTGTGTGGATGCACATTAAATACATGATGCCACATGAAAATAGTTATAAACTTAGAATAAATATTTTAGGATTTTATTTATGTGTAGTACCAAGGATTGGAAAACACATACAAACAGAATGTAAACTAGAAGTTACGAGAAAATAGAAAGACGGGAGTTGCTTTAGCAAAGAAAGTTACATTTGGAGTGATAAAAAGCCTCAGATTTATAGTCACACTTGTGCCAACATTGTACATGTATTTCATGGTAATGAAATACATGGCTAAAACTAAATAATACAGGATATAGTAACCAGTAAGCCCCATTATCTGAACGCTATTCAAAGGATCCAATAGTATGGTTGTATCATATGCATGTAAGAAAATACACAAGCATACTACAACTTTGAAATTTGATTATACAGCATTCTAAGAATCATTAAGATAGACAATTTAATTTGATAGATATGATGATATATAAAATGTATCTCAATAAACACTCATCAATCAAAATGATAAAGAGTTCTACATCAAAGGGTCACGATTTGATAAAACAAACAAAAGCTAATATTACCCTTTCTTAAAAATTTTGTTTAAGTAAAGGTAGCTGTTTTTCCTCCATATAAATTACAGTGAAAAGTGCAGTGACCTCCAGTATAGCAGGATACACTGTATAAGTGGAAGCTAAGGTGTAATTACAGCCAGTGGCTTTAAAACTTCAGAGCAAAGGTCAGCTTAAGAAAAAGACAAATATTAGAACACTTATGTATTTGAGTTTTGTTCTCTTCTCTCAATAGTACACTAAGGATCCCTAGAGAGTCACACTCTGAGGAGCACAGGACAAGAAGCAGGCATCTCCCTCTTTCCCACCACCTGGCCCACTCAAATAATGATTCCTATATACCCAGGCAATGTCCTTAACTCAGCTCTGCACAGTATCACCTTTTAAAACTTTCATGAGATTCTTCCCCCGCCTATTGTTTATTCTATAAGGCCTCAGGTATCTTGTATATCTACTGTATTACAATGATTGTTTCCTTGCAGTTTTCTTAATTAAACAGTAGCTTCTAAAAGCCTCTCATCAGACATTTATCTTTTACCACCAGGGTGCCTAAACTATACAAGATGAATAAGGTAATTAGTATGCTGTGGTTCAATATGAACACTTACAGTGATGAAATCTATCAGACTAGAAAATGACAAACAGAAAAGTAGTATAAAATAAACCTCACACAGACTTACCCATATAATCAATTAGTGTCAAATATGAATTAATTTCATAATTAGTGCAGTTACATAGCTGTTATAAACACAAACAAGAAAGAAAGACAGAGACAGAGAGAGAGGAGAGAGAGGGGGGGGAGAGAGGGAGGAGGCAGAGACCATAAATTTAGAAATTGCTATGAAATTATTGTTATATATAGCAACCTACATATTAAAAATTGTGACCTTGTATTTGTAAACTGAATATCTGAATTGATTTTAAAAACTGAACATAGAGGATGCTAGATCTTATTGTTGTCAAGTAGATGTATATTAATATGAAAAAGTAATTTTATTATTAGATACCTATAAACTAATCAAAATTATAAAATTGTTATTAGAAAAACTTTGAGAAAATAATCCTTTTCATAGACTGTGGATAAAGATATAAACTGATGGGACAGTTGTGTTCAGCGACCTATAAGCCATAATATACAGAGTGACTGTCTGGGTGACTTATTTTCAGGTTTCAAGTTAAATTTTCTTCCAGTATTTTATTATTATTATTATTATTATTATTATTATTATTATTATTATTATTATTATTGATTTTTCCAGACAGGTTTCTCTGTGTAGCTTTGGGGCCTGTCTTGGCACTCACTCTGTAGACCAGTCTGGCCTCAAACTTACATAGATCTGCCTGCCTCACCCTCCCAAGTGCTGGGATTAAAGACATGAACCACCACTACCTGGCAATTTCCAGAGTATTATGTTACACAAATATTTTCAATTATGAATGTGCACATTTATACAGACAAATATCAATTGTAGTATTTAATATATTTATGAGACACATAAATCATTTATCAATAAATTGAATAAACAAAGCTGTATACTGGGTGCAAAATTGAGTATATGCTTGCCAAAGAATAAAGTAAATTTGTGGGCTGAAATAAATGTTTGCAATATGTTACTATAGTCAGCTAGATGTCTAATACATTGATAAATAATCCTCTTATAATTAAGGATGATGATACATAGGCTTACAAAAAATCTACAAGAAATGGGAGTTTTCTGTTCTGGGTGAGATAATATTGACATTATTTTTGAAGCACACCTCATGGTTAAACCTATATTACTTGTAATGTTTATTGTAAATATGTACTTAATACTGCAATTTAAAAAGATATAGATACAAAGACTGGCTCTGTAGAGTGAAAATAAGTAGTGGGGAATAAATAGAAATTGAAAAGTCATAGGAGAGATTGTGTGAAGATATTTGTATTCATGAATATTAGGTGACAGGAAAAAGGTGTCTGTCAATTGTGCAGATAATTCACACTTAATGAAACATAAAGCTTGAATGGTTACAGTAAATTCTTTCATTTGCATGCTTTTTGAGTGTTTTACAATTTTGAACCTTGTTCTTGTTAGAAAATCTCTCTTCCCACTGAAATGAATCTTGAAGCCCGAATCACTTCTTCAACAGACTCCATTCAAGATATAGCCACATACTGATATTAGATAATTTTTCAGAAAATATGATTAACTGAAAATCATTAGAGATACTATAATACTATCATTTCACCCACACTTGAAGGAGATCAATTAAAAAATTTTGTACTAACATATTCCCAGTATCACAAAACTTGTAAGTAGCAAACATGATGTTAAAAATACTGCAGAGATAATTAAAGCTACTATTTACAGTACATGTGGGTACTTGTTGCTTAGACACTGTGAGATTGATAAATGATATAACCCTAGACCTTCTTGAGCATGAACTGTGGATAGTGCAAGTGCTCCACAACATACCACTGTTTTTTCTAAACTGAAGTGACATATAAACATTTTAAAAGTTTGTACTTACTTTCAATAATTACTTGTCTGTCTTCCCAGTTATCTTTAATAAGCTGTATATTTCCAAAGTGTGCATCACTGTAAAAGATCCTATTGGTACCGTCTGTTTTTTGATTGTAGTCAAAGGCCAGGGCTATGATATTCTTGAAATAATGTGGGTTCTCATAGGGCCTTACTGGGGAATTTAAGTTGGTTTCATCAGAAAGATGTATGCTTTTTAATATTGTTCTTCCTGAATATAGCAAGTAGCCCTCGTGCCTTAAACAAGTAACTCCATCCCCAGCCAAATAGCCATGGGCACAGGCACAGGTTCTCCTGGAATTCCCTCGATAAAGACAGAGTTGCTTACAGCCTCCATTGTCTTTGGCACAGACATTGGTCCCTGAGAAAGAGAAGACACTCCAGTATACAGTCATTATTTTAATATTTGAACAAATTTATACTGCCTCTAACAGAAATACTACAACTTAACAGTAAGTAAAGTTTTATTTTTAAAGAGTAGTCAAAAATTAAATACAAAATAATAATAAATTTTTAAGCCAGAGGATTTTAGTGTCTTGAATTTCAATTTGAAATATATGGATTCCAAAGCCAAACAAAAAGCACTAAGACTTAACTTACTAAGGCTAGAGATTGTGCTTAGTGGTGATGCCTTCACCCAACAAGGACCAAGCCCTGTAATCAGTCTGATGCACCAAAACCAAACTCAAAGAAATTTGCCTTAAAAAGTAGTTAAATGCATTGCTTTAAAATGATAGGTTTCATATTACACAGTCTTTGGCACATGTAGCTGATTAACTCAAAACATAATCTGAAGTAACTGAGAAATCATGTGATGCCCTTAAGTGTATCCAGGAGGCACAGAGGAGATTGCAAATGGATGGCTTTCTTGTGCCACACCTCTTTTATGTAAGGCATAAATGACTCTAACTTTAAAAGATCAAGTATTCTCTTACTAATTTTTTGTAAGTCTGAATCTATCCTCTGAATTCATTATTGCCATCTACAAAATTATTACAAAAATTTCTTTCATATACAGAAATTGAGTAAATATAATTTAAAAATAGACAAAATCATTATCAAAGATGCAATGATTCAGGAATACCCATTGACGACATACATTTCCAGAGTCATAACAACTTTAGTCCTTAAAGAGTGTCTAAAACAAAGAATTCAGTTGCTTCTCTAATACCCTAGTTGTGCTTTGTACTTTCTGTTAAATATATTTTACAAGATTTTAAAAATATATTTATTAATACAACCCATCCTCAAGACTTGTCCTATGTTACATGACCATATATATTTATTAAAAAGAAATATACATGTTTATAAACTATCATATACTCATTTCCTTGGCCTTCTCTCTGATTTCTGTAAAAGAAAATCATCAAAAATGAATTTTGAGGCTTTGAACTTAATAGAAATTAATTCTGAATTTTTAAAAATAAAACATAAATGATACAAACTATATTAATGTGTGTTTCATTAACTGTGCTGACCTTTCTCTCTTACGCGGTTAAAAATTTTGATCTCCTTTAGGTTGACTCCAAGTCCGGTCCTCATGGTTACTGTTTCTGTGGCATCGTTCTTGTGGCCCCTTCTGACTGACCCATTGGCGTGTGCTCTGCCAAAAAGTTGAACATACAAGATCAACAGTCTTGAACTCTTTAAAATCAAGTCAGGTAAAACTGAAGATAAGAGATGGCTCAAAGAGAAGAAAATAGATTAATTTTAGTGTGTGGTGCTGAAATGCTTGACCACGGGATAGCTAGAAATCCTTGCTGACCTCTTCTGTACAAATTACACGGTTTTGTGATATCCTTTCTGTAACCTTGCTAAGGGGTGGCTAATACTACAAGGGCAAAGAAATGGCACTGAAATAATATTGTGAGACTCCAATACTTATGAAAAAATAAATTACCTGTCAGACCAGTAGATGTAAGCCCCAAAGACCGCAACTGAAAACCCCCCCAGCCAGACCCCCCCCCCCTTCCCCGCCAGTGTCAAGGTCAATTCTTTCTATCTTGTCCGTGCGAGCATCACACCAATATAATTTATTTTCCTACACAGTGATTTGAAAGCAATAGTACAAGCTGTTTTGGTTATTTATTAAGAAAATAAGAACATATCAAAAGAAGACTACTGCAAGCTGGACATGAACACACTTTAGAATCTTAAAAGCAATCCAACAGACCTCATAGTCAATGGAGATGCCATTGGGCCATGTAATTCCCATGCTTACAATCATGACCTTCTCAGAACCATCTAGGTGAGCCTTTCCGATGCAGGGCATCTGTCCCCATTCAGTCCAGAACAAGAAGCTGAAATTAAATTGATCATTTATAATAATAAGCAGATTAAAGAGCACAAAATAAAACTTCAAGATGACAGCGAAGCTCCTAAGGTATAATGTTCATAACAACCAAATAATAAACCACAGAACTTAATTTACAAATAGCCCTGCAGTCACTAATAGAATTTTACTATAAAACATATTTAATCAGGTGCAGAAATAACAAGGATGGAAGAACAAATATTTTCCCGATTTGATTTACATGAAGTTTCCGGGAATGGCAAATACATATTGACCAATTCAAATTAGAAGTTAGGAGAAAATGGAGAGAGTTGCTGTATTTAAGTATGTCCCATCCTATCTAAAATTTCCTTGTCTGAATTGTAGCCTAATTTTTTGCAGTTTCTCCTTCATTAGGCCCCTGGTGCCTCCTTGATAATTCCTGCACTATTAACCCTACATCATAACAGCAGAGCACACAGAATAAGGCAGAACATTACACTGGATTTTCTTTAACTTCTTAACCATTTTGAACATTTTTCCTCAACAACATTATGGGCCCAATAGAAACAGTGTTTTATTTTGTTTCCTTGTCTTTCTATGTTTTATTCAGAACTGTATTATAGCATCCAAAAATTATGATATTTTAAATTTAAATGTAGTATTATTCAATTCCTGCATCTAAACACCAATGGTTGTAACTTCCTTTAAAAATTTGCATGTGATGCCATCCTAACAGATGGTTTCACACTTACAAAAGAAAGCATCTGCCTTTAAAAACTGATGTGAAAGATATGATATCGAGAAAGAGAAGTTAAATTGAGACAAATCATGTTGAAAAATTGAGTGAACTATGAAAGTAGAGATTCATTCACTTCTTATTCATTCTTAAATTTAACATTACTATGATAGCAAAGAAAATCATTCTTTTAGGTGAATAGAATTATTTGTAAATTTGAAATTATGAACACACAAGCTTTCAACCTATGTAAAACTAAAGTTCAGAAAAATAAGGTAGTCATTCTTACAGACAGTAATGTGTATACATTTTCTATGAAGATTAATATATAAATTAGTATAGTTCAAGAAAAGGTATTTCCTGAGTTATATAGGAAACCTAAGCAAAGCCTTCTTATTTTTGTATAGTAACAAAAACTATTAATTAACCTCAAAAACTTACAGAAGACAAAATGTACATATTCCATTCATGTTATTTTGAATTATATTCATAAGTGATCTTTTATAAAAAACTATATAAAATATTTGTGCTGATATTTGACAACAAAATGAAAGAGGTGTGACTATTAATATGAACCATGTTAAAAGCACATGAAAAAATTTATATAATAAAGTCAAGATTAAAACTTCAAGTCATACTTTCAATATATTAAAAATATTAATTGGTAGACAAATGTAGGATGTCATTTAATTCTCTAAGGACAAAGTCATGATTGTAAAAAGACAGGAGACAGGCACTGCTGAATGACAATGGAGGCACTGTGGAGTCAGAAAAATCATTCCCATGATATTTAAACATATGCAAACAGGGATGTGAATGCATATAATAAACCTTTTACTTAATGCTAATCCATCTACAATTACGCCAAATGAGTGAGGAAGCATGATTTTAATGTGCTTTGTAATACACTTTTAAGACTTTTCAGATGAAGTAAAAGAGAAACTTTTGATCAGCAAAAGTTGTATTAACTTATTTTAACCTCAATTAGAAAATTATATCCCTAGAAGCATTTGTGAATTTTTTCTTCACCCTGGAGGTGTTGTTGGAGCATGCTCTCTTAGATCACTGCTCTGCAGCTA